AAATCCCAATTTACCTTTTTCCAAAAAAATTATAAAAAACTTATTCATTATAATTTTATCTCGTCATTGATTTAATATCCTTGAATTTTGGTTTAGAGATAAGCACATTAAAAGTGGAGGGAAATTAAGAATCTTGATTAACATAACCTTTCACAAAAAAATTCTACCAATTTGTTCTCTTAAAAAAAAAGTGCAATATATTCTCCAAAAAATAATCCATCAAAATGGTCATGTATCTCTAAATAACAGTTAGAGTTAGAGGAAAAATACCCCAATAAAAAATCCTTTTCTCCTCTAAACATAGAGTGTCAAGCAAGAGAGATGGGTGAAAAGTAAAGATTTAAGAAACAAGGAATTTAGATTGAACTTCGAATATTTGGATTCGTTTAAGCATTTTGTTTTTTTTTTATACATACAAAAGTTTAATTGATTGTACATGTTTAATCGTTTTTATTTCATTGGTCCATACAACATAACAATGACCATTTGATATTTTTTAATTTTTGTGTTTTAATTAATCGCAATCCTATATTAAAGTCTTTTTTTTTTTTGAATGATAATTCCATATCTTGGGTTCCATTCTTCTTATTTGCTAATGCAGTTATAGTGTTTAGTGTTGTTGTTTCCATTGTTGATTGTATTCTCCCAATAAATCTACCATAAGTTTTGTGTCGTGAGTCACGACAACAGAGTAGGCATTGTTCTTGTATTTATTGAAATTTAAACAAAATTTGTTAAGTACGACTCTTATAATACTTAGTAAGGTCATAAAAATTATAGGTCCACGGTTTTAATCTATCCATATAATAGCCGTAACTCATAATCTTATATTGTATCATATTTATATATCCGATTTTTCGCTTTGTTTTTTTAGCCTAATCCAAAATATTCATGATTTTCTAACTTAACTAATTTTTGACAACCCGTATTCTTGCCCAATTTTTTGTCTTCACCTTTTTGAAATAAAACTTATTTATTACCGATATTTTTGCTTGCATTATTCACCGACTTGCTAACCATGTTCTAAGGTCGCATTAACTGATGGTTAAAACTGGACAATTGCCAGAGAGACTTGGGCAGTCTTGGATGATCATTCGAATGGGTTGGACAGTTTGACCATTTGAATACATTTACAGGGTCACATGGATGTGGTGAATCCTCATCTTAGTGTGGTTCTAACATAATGATCCCATCACAAAGTTAATTGGCAACAAGATTTTTCAGACTTCCATGGATCTAGGATTCGAGAATTCCATTCTTTCATAACTTCATCCCAATGATTTGGACAAATGGTCTTTGTATAGTGTGAGAATTCACATCATACTGAAGGAAATGACAATAATGGTACTTACAAGACTACCATATTTTCGATAAGCAATATCGATGGAGTGCCTCAGATGGTGTGAATCGGGCTAGGTCGTGGTGGTACTACCCACCTAAGCCCTAGTTAAAAGTCATGGCCCCTATTCTCAATAACGCTTTTCAAAAAGATTGACTCTTAACAGGTATGGACTTATAATCCCCACTGATCTACTTAAGAAGAAAAGTACCTCGCGGTGGTCTTTGATGACCCAGTCTAACCCTATCATATAGAGGATTCCATTTTTCCAATATTGGACTGTCCTTTGAAATCTTTGAAAAATGGCCATCAAAACCAAGGAGTTTGGAGTCATCCCCAAATCTACGATTTGGAGAAGTTTTTTCCTTTTTTTCATAAAACCTTACTAAAATAAATATTAACAAATGTAATATTCTTTGAGAACTTTAAGGTGCCATGGACACACACAAACCAATAGACATACCCATTGTATTAGGATATGGATATACATCTTTACTCAATATATCTCTTGATAAGATTAGGATATGTATCATACATATATATACATATTAGTAGGGATATCTCTATGTATGGATACATATCTCTTGATAAGATTAGGTAGAGTCTATCGATAACCATTGGTATTTATCTTTAATTGTTACTAGTCTTATATTTATACAGAGTCTTGTATATTCTTGATTAAAAAATTTAATAGAGTTCTCTGCAGTATTCTGAAATAATCTTCCATGGGGGCCTGAGGCCCAAATATACAGAAATGTAGTTTCGAACATGGTATCAAAGCAAGGTTGATCAATTGCTCAACGAGGTTGTTTTTGTCTCTCGTGATCGTGGTCTATGTGGGTTCGTCTATAGTCGTAGAACGAGTTGAAGCCGTCCCTATTTCTCTCTCTTGCTTCTCTTCCTTTGTTTCATCAGATCTAAGCCTCTTATTTTGTAGCCTCTCCTTGAACAATGGCTCCAATTCTCTATCAATATAGGTCATGAACCAGCCCTTTGGGGTCTCTTCAACCTTACATTGACCAGTTCTTCAAAGCAACTCTACTAAAACAGTGGGAGCGACGCATATGCTCCATGAACGCTCTCTCAAACTCCTTTGATACCCATCGACTATTCGATTTGGGTTCTATCCAAAGACCTGCATTTGTTAGAGACTCTCACTCATGCAATGGCACTTGAAGCCATTTTCATCTCTACATTGCCCTTATCTTTGAGTGCATAAAGTATGCCCTTGGCATGTGGATATAAAGATGACATAACCTGTTGTCATGGTGGCGTGTCGTTTATGGCAGCAAAGGACTAGTCGTTTATGTTTGTTTATTGGCATTCGCTCTAAAAAGGCTAGAGAGTGTAGTCTAGGTCAAATACAACAAGTCGAGGATTTGCAGAGACTAAGAATCTGGAAAAGGCTGAGGATTTGTAGAGACTCTGATTTCACCTGATCGTCTTTTATTTAGCTGGGCGCTTATCTTTTTCCAACTGGTATATTCCAAAAATAGAAGGCATCCGTGGTCTTTTAGAGAGAGCTTCTCTTTTTCCAACTGGTATGTTCCAAAAATAGAAGGCATCTGGTGGTCTTTTAGAGAGAGATGTGAGTCTGGTCATGCTGTTGCGGGTTATAGCTTAGGGCATTAGTGAGGCGTGAATTGTAGAGAGAGAGATTATGGAGAGAGAGTACAAGGTTTTTTTTTGGGATTGTAGAGAGAGAGTAAAAGGTTTTCTATTTTATTTTTATGCTTTTTTTTGTTAATAAATTAGAGAGTGTATAAGTTTGTAGGATTTGCATTCTTCACATTGTAAAGCTCAGTACTTAGTCTTGAAACAAGATCGAGGCTCAAAATTCACGTTGCTCCCTGCTGCGTGCTTGCCTCCTGCTGGGATCGCAGTAGAGAGAGAGAGTTGCAGCGCTCCAAATATCACCGTGTAGGGAGAGTTGTCTTGATATTCTCAAGATAAGCCATGCATTAGCCATTAGGGGTCATCTGAGGAGCACTATTGCAGAAAGCTCTCGATCTTCGTGGGAGCAAGTTGCTTGGATCTGTGCTTGCTAAAGATGGTGGTGTTTCAAAGGTTTCAGATTTTCTATTGATTTCTATTGGCTCTTCTCAGTGCCTCATGTTTGATGATCGAATTAAACATGATCGAATTTCTAGATTGATGATCAAGTTTTTTGTAACTTGATCATGTTTAATGATTGAGTTTTCCGTTACTTAATCCTATTGAATGATGGAGTTTTTCGTTACTCCATATTGTGTGACGCTCGAGTTTATCGTTACTCGATCCTGTCTGATAATCGAGTTTTTGGTTACTCGATCTCGTTTGTTACTCGATCTCGTTTGTTCTTAAGGCAGTCTGTTGTTGGTGCTGTTGTTGATCAATTTTTTTGTTACTTGATCTAGGGTGTTTGAAAAACTCGATCCTGTCTGATAATCGAGTTTTTGGTTACTCGATCTCGTTTGTTCTTAAGGCAATTTGTTGTTGATGCTGTTGTTGATCGATTTTTCGTTACTCAATCTAGGGTATTCCTGAAGCCGTCTGTTCCAGAGGTCTACTGTCACTTTTTTGTGCTTGTTGTTCAAGCAATCTGTGTATTAAGTCTCATAATTGGGAATAGAATGAGGACAAGGTTCTGCATTTCCATTGAGAGAAGGTCAACATATATACAACGTACATACTAGAATTACTCCTATAATTAGGGAGCTAAAATTGGGCTATACATTAATACCTAATATTGCTGCGAACAGATTCCTGAGATTGTGGCTACAAGTATAGATTGTGGCTACAAGTATGGTATATTGCTATGAACAAATTCCTAAGATTGCTACGAACATTCTTGCAATGAACAAACTCCTAAGATTGCTACGAACAGATTCTTGCTATGAACAAATTCCTAAGATTGCTACGAACAGATTCTTGCTATGAACAAATTCCTAAGATTGCTACGAACAGATTACTGAGATTGTGGCTACAAGTATGGTATATTGCTATGAACAGATTCCTAGGATTACGACTACAAGTATGCGACGACAAGTATGGTATATTGCTATGAACAGATTCCTAAACTTGCGACTACAAGTATGGTAAGATTGTTTTTGACAACTTAGTACTACAGCTGCTTTGACATGCTTTGTGTCAAAGCATCTTGAGTTTGAGGGAGAGTGTACTGATACATACTAGTATATCTCTTGATAAGATTAGGATATGTATCATACATAATGGATATTCCAGTATGGATATCCATAGATATGGATACATATCTCTTGATAAAATTAGATGGTGTCAATCCATAACCATTGGTATTTATCTTTAACTGTTAAAGTACAGAGTCTTGTATATTCTTGATTAAGCAATTTAATTTCTTGATTAAGCAATTTAATTTCTTGATTGAACAATTTAATTTCTTGATTAAGCAATTTAATTTCTTGATTAAGCAATTTAATATTCTTGATTAATAAATTTAATTTCTTGATTAAGCAATTTAATATTCGTGATTAAGCAATTTAATTTTTTGATTAAGCAATTTAATAGAGTTCTCTGTAGTATTTTGAAATAATCTTTCATGGGGGCCTAAGGCCCAAATATACATAAATATAGTTTCTAACACTTTGTTGTTTCTAAATCTTCTTGATTCATGTTATTAAGGAAGTAGTGTTTCTTGTCGCAGGATCCCGTTACAGGTAGCGCACATTGTGTATTGGCACCATATTGGGCATCAAAGCTTCAAAAAGATACTTTAAATGCTTATCAGGTATTGCCAAGTTAGTTCTTGCCTTGTCCACCATATGAAATGGTGTTCATGGTTTATTTTTCTTGCTATTTTCATTTTTTTCCCCATACAATATTATGGTACTCATCTTTCGACAGGCTTCAGAGCGCGGTGGACATCTCTGTGTTGCAGTAGACAGATTGGAAAACAGAGTTAGGCTTCAAGGACATGCAGTGACAGTAATGAAAGGGGTTCTCTTGGATAATGGTTCATATTGACAGTTATTATTGACATGGAATAGTTTGATTATAAGTGTACTATGGTGTTTTAATCTGAGCCTATTAGCTCAGATGGTTAGAGCGTCGTGCTAATAAAATGTCGCATGGCACTACATTCTCACTGCCGCATGCACTATGGCACTACATTCTCACTGCCTACGAGACATTCTCACTGCCTATGAGACATTCTCACTAGTTGTAATCTTAAATTAGATTTAAATGATAATGACTTTTAAATGATAATGAATGGTAATGACATTGTACTCTGCACATGATGTCGAGCTTGACATAAATATATGGACACCGCACCTCCAAATTTTATCATAACACATATAAAATATTCTTTGGATTATTTGAAAATCAAATTTTATCCCTAAGTATAAAATTTTAAACTCCAAAAATGAAAAATGGCTAAAATCAAGTGAATCTATAAACATATGAAAATCTTAAAAATTGAAGGTCTAGATAATGTGTTGCAAGGTACACTATTTTGGGATTCAAAATCTTTTTTTTTTTATATTCATACATCTTGATGTCTTAGATGATCAATTAGAGGGTTTTTCAATATTAAAACACCTTTTTCTCATAGATTTTTTAGGCGCATATATAATTCTACATTTTAAGGTTGCAACCTTATATAAAGGTTTTCCTTATGGGAATACAAAATTACATAATAACTCCTTAAATGATTATATTCAGCTAAAGCTTCTAGCATGGGAAGGTTTGGAAGAGGAATTCAAAGGGCACATTGAACGTCCGAGAAAGCACTGCCACTTTATGAAGAAATTTTAAACCAAAATTTAGGCTCCAACTTCAAATAGGTAGCCGTCAACGTTTTAATGTGCCTTTTTTAGGACTCGGCCCAGCGGAGACGAGGTACTCTAGCACATTTGAGTGTATTCGCCGCGACTCGTCAGAGTTGGCACATTTAAAATAGAAAAAAAAAATTTTGAGTGTATTCGCCGCGACTCGGCAGAGTTGGCACATTTAAAATAGAAAAAAAAGAAGAAAAAAAAGGTGCGTGGCCGAAAGAAAAGAACCTTGGCATCAATAGTGAACCCTTAATCTCTCTCCCACAAGAGAAACTAAAAAATGGGTTCCAAGCAGTGTTTAAAAAACCGCCAAGTCGAACCGGACTCGCCCGGTTTGACTCGGGAATCGACAGTAGCGTCTCGAATCGCACAAAAAACCAAAAATCACTTTGTTTTAGAGAGAACCGGGCGAGTCTGTACAGTGACTCGCCGATTCACTGTACGGAATCGGCGAGTCCCATGAAGAACACGTGCTGCACAGTGTTCTTCACGGGATTCTTCAAAATTTGTCATTTTTTTATCATTTTTCTTGTTTTTTTTGGCATGTGATCTAATATGCAGGCTTTAAAAAGCTTTATTCAGCTTTTTCACGGATTAAATGGTTGAGAAATTTTGTGTTTTTGGATCACGAAAGTTGCATTTTTAGGGTTTTCGCCTTTCCTTGTGTTTCATGCCAAATAGGGCATGAATCGGTCAAAATTTGTAGGCATTTTGATCGTAAAGTTGTTCATCAAAACCTTCTATTACGAATTTGTGATAATCGTTGAGAAAAACAGAGTTATTTGGAGATTGAAGGCTCGGGTTCACAAAACCAAGTAAGAAGTTTGGGTTTTTTTTTTTGTCCGCCATATGATTAATTTCACTGCATATTTTGAAGATAATGAGTTCAATTTTGTAGGGTTTTAATCTTTATTGTGTCTATTACGATTTAACATATTCAATTTTATGTAATTTGGTCAATTACAGCATGAATTTTTAGATGAATATAGTGATGTATGTGGAAAAAAATTTCTGCTGTTTTATTTTTTTTTTTCCGCCTTTCGATTTTTTGTTCATGATATATTACAAATAATGTGTTAGATTTCTAGCGTTTTTAATCGTTATAGTGTTGTTTATAATTATATGTATTCAATTTGATCTGATTTATTCAATTTGAGCTTCATTTTTTAGATTCAATGACTGTTGTCTGTAAAGAAAAGAACTGCGTTTTTTTTTTTTCTCAATTTAATCGATTTGATTTGATTTATTGATAATAATGTGTTCAAAATTTAGGGTTTTGATTCCTTATATTGTTGTTTATCAGAAAATATACTCAATTGGATGTAATTTATTCACTTACAGGTAGATTTTTGAATTAAAATGGCTTATGTAAGATGGCTCTGTGAAGAATATAATTTTTTTTTTTTTGTAATCCATGATCGAATTTTTTGTAATACATGATCGAATTTTTTGTAATCCATGATCGAATTGTTTTTTTTTTTTTGTAATCCATGATAGAATTTTTTGTTTTTTTTTTTTTTGTAACCAATGATAGAATTTTTTGTAATCCATGATCGAATTTTTTGTTTTCTTTGTAACCCATGATAGAGTTGTTAGTAATCCATGATCGAATTTTTTTTAATCCATGATCGAATTTGTTTTTTCTTTTTTTGTAATCCATGATCTAATTTTTTGTTTTTTTTTGTTTCCTTTTTTTTTGTAATCCATGATCGAATTTTATGTAATCCGTGATCAAATTTTTTGTAATCCATGATCGAATTTTTTGTAATCCATGATCAAATTTTTTGTTCCATGATTGAATTTTTTGAAAATTTGTGATTTTTCTTTTAATCCATGATCAATTTTTTTTTTGTAATCCATGATCGAATTTTTTGAAAATTTGTGATTTTTTTTTTTAATCCATGATCGAATTTTTTGAAAATTTGTGATTTTTTTATTTCTAATCCATGATCGATTTCTTTGAAAATTTGTGATTTTTTTTTTTAATCCAGGATCGAATTTTTTTTGTAATCAATGATCAAATTTTTTGAAAATTTGTGATTTTTTTTTTTTAATCCATGATGGAATTTTTTGAAAATTTGTGAGTTTTTTTTTTTAATCCATGATCGAATTTTTTGAAAATTTGTGATTTTTTTTCTTTAATCCATGATCAAATTTTTTTTTGTAATCTATGATCGAATTTTTTGAAAATATGTGATTTTTTTTTTTTATCCATGATCGAATTTTTTGAAAATTTGTGACTTTTTTTTTTTAATCCATGATCGATTTTTTTGAAAATTTGTGATTTTTTTTTTTAATCCATGATCGAAGTTTTTTTTTAATCAATGACTGAGTTTTTTGAAAATTTTTGATTTTTTTTTTTAATCCTTGATCAAATTTTTTGAAAATTTGTGATTTTTGTTTTTTAATCCATGATCGAATTTTTTTTTGTAATCAATGATCGAATTTTTTGAAAATTTGTTCATTTTTTTTTTTTAATCCATGATGGAATTTTTTTTGTAATCCATGATCGAATTTTTTGAAAATTTGCTTTACTTTTTTTTATTTTTTTTATTTATCCATGATCGAATTTTTTGAAAAATGATGATTTTCCGAAAAGATGTGAAAATCGTGATAAGGTTTTGATTATCATGATGTATGAAACTCAAATTTTAATTTTTATTGTTTGAGTTTCCTGTACTTTTTTTTTTTTTTCCATAATCGAATTTTTTGAAAAATGATGGTTTTCCGTAAAGATGTGAAAATCTTGACAAGGTTTTAATTGTCATGAGGTATTAAACCATATTTAAAATTTTATTGTTAAAGTTTTTGTTTAAAAAATTGTATGTTGATAGATTATTTATGCAAAAAAATGGATGTTATTATATTTTTAATGCAAAACTGCATTTTTTTAATCTGTTGTTAATGAATTTTTTAGTTGGAATGATTGATGTTAGGTGG